TCTCTGCCCTTTTCAGCTTCCTAACCTACACAGAGAAGATGCAAAGAAAAATACTAATATAGAGCCCGTGGTAAAGTTTACTGATTTATTTATATTCATTTTTAAAGTACAGGCAAGTTTTGCAAAAAAAATAAAGAAGACTTGAGCACTGTATGCACTGAAAAATAGATGTCTAAGAAAGAATAACCAAACGGAAAGTATATGTAAAGCCAATCACTAAAAATCTTATATAAAAGCTTCAAAAGTAACTTTCGTTATTTTTAAATGTGCATCTTTCTTTTAAGTAAGCTCCAAGGAGCAGGGCCCTCCTAACCCTTTTGTATTGAACTGTATTGTCTCCCGTTATATTGTAAAGCGCTGAGCAAACTGTTGGTGCTATATAAATCCTGTATAATAATAATAATAAGTGTTGATCCTACAATAAATATACTTGTTCAGGCACTTCCTGGTACAGGGTAGCAATGATCTGCTGGAGTGCATGCACGGAGGCAGGAGATGGCTACAAAGAGGCTGTAGGAGATTAGCAGTCATGTGCAGTAGCAATTGTTTCATATTCATGTGGCTGCAAACCCTTACATATAACCAGTTAAGTCATGATCCTCAGGTGATACACAAATATTAACTATTTGCCCTCCAGAGGATTTACCCCCCCCCCTTCCTGACCAGGCCATTTTTTGGTGATACGGCGCTGCGTTACTTTAACTGATAATTGCCCGGTCATGCAGCTCTGTCCATAAAGGAAATTTATGTCCTTTTTTTCCCACAATAGAGCTTTCTTTAGCAAAGACATGTAGCAGAATACATTTTGTCCTAAATTTATGAAGAAATTTGATTTTTAAAATTTTTGATGGTGGTATTTGATCACCTGTGCATTTTTTATTTTTTTTGCGCTATAAACAAAAAAAGACCAACAATTTTGAAAGAAAAATAATATTTTTGACTTTTTGCTATAAAACATATCCAGTAAAAAAATGATAAAAATCAAATTTCTTCATAAATTTAGGACAAAATGTATTCTGCTACATGTCTTTGCTAAAAAAAAAAAAAAATCCCAGTACATGTAAATTAATAGATTTACCTGTAAATTATAGTGTCTACAAATGGCGGTATATATACTGGTATTTTTTTTTTCATACTAGTAATGGCAGCGATCAGCAACTTATAGCAGGACTGCGTAACTAGGGTGTATGACTAACTTCCACTGACATTCCCAGTGACTAATAAAAAGCACTGACCACACTGTACAAACGACACTGGGCAGGGAGGAGTTAACATCTGGGGCGATCAAAAGGTTTACTGTGTGTGCTGTTTTACTGTGTGTGCTGTTTTACTGTGTGTGCTGTTTTACTGTGTGTGCTGTGTGTGTTTTACTAGGGAAACACACTGCTGTGTATTTCTCTGCTGTGCAGAGAAATACACTGCAGCATGTTACTGCTGGCAGGAGAGAGATCTGTGTTGTTTACATTACGGTTCTCTCCCCTGTCAGTGATACTCGGCAATCACTGGGTGCCAGCTGGGAATCTTCAACTGGGACCCGGTGATCGACATCTGTAGCCGCCAATGGCAGCAGGGAAGGGCGCACCGCGTGCCCCCTACCCGAAAATGCGAAATCACATGTGTATATATGTGATTTTGCGCAGCCCTGCTGTAGCAGTGGTTCTGCTAAGCAGTTAGACAAATCCTCCTACATAAATTGTACCTGTTTATTTACAGCTGTCTATCCGCTACATCTATTCAAAGTGGAGAATTTACACAGGATCTCTCAGCTCTGAAAAGCAGGGGTTGCGGAGCTGAAGTTACATCAGTGAGGAGAGCTCTGAGAGCTAATTGGAGGGAAGTAATACCCCCCTTCCCCCTTTAACAGCACAGAGGAACAGAGCTAAGGCTGTCAATCATAGGCTGTGCTCTCCCTGTCACTATATTTTTATCTTGGTGTCAGGAAAACTTGTCAGAAGTGACTCATGCTGATACCAGAGGAGCAAGTCAGCACACAGAAATGACACTTAATGCTCTGGAGTTAGTTAAGCACGTGCTTTAGAGGGAGATGGTTTGATCATATTTCATGTCAGAGGTTTACAACCACTTTTAGCATGCTAAAGAAAAATTGTAGACATTGTCCAAAAAAATCTCCCCTGTGGACTGAAATTGTTGTTTTTACTAAGAAAAGAACACCTTTGTCTGGCCACAATACAGCAACAGAATTAGGGGCACTTAAAATTTGCCCCAATACTGACATTGCAGATGTAACACACCTCTAGATAGCCAGCGGGAGCTAGTTGCTGATTGTTAGTAGGAAAGGTCGAGCAGCAGCCTGGGAATAGTCAGCAGGGTCAAATTTGGGTCAGGACTGTGAAGTTCTGCAAATCAGTTCCCTGATTTTTCCCCCTGCGAAGATTTGCTAAGTTTCTAGAAAGCAGTGTAAGCCGAGGCTCATCTGCATACTTAGGGGATCCTGACCAATCCCCAGGCAAGAGAAGCTTGGCATGGGGTCAGCACAGCCCTTAAGTATGACTGAGCCTGCTCAGCAGCAAGAGAGTTTGGGTGGAAGATTTGAGGAAGGCTGAGATGCAGGAGCCTGGGAGGGGGCCCATTGGGAAGTGGCCTATCTACAGGCTGGGACCTGGAAAAGAGGATCACTCAGCCTCACCAGTCCCCAGAGGGAGAACTACTTATGGAGCCGGGAAAGAAGCCAGCCCACCAGAAGGCCTGAAGGCAGCCACCTACCTAAACCAGCTCACAGGCAAAGATTCTGTGAGTAATCCTATACCCCCTGGGCCAGCTAAGGGGAAAATAGCATTCTGGTGGGAAACCTGACCAGCTCCTCACCCAGGACTGTTCATCGTAAAGTTGCAGACACTTTATCCCCTTGCCCAGGGATCCTCCAGACAGCTGGGTAAAGAAGAGGATTTATCTGGGGTTGGGTGGTACACCAGGAGAGGATGGAGAGCTCTCCAAGAAGAGTTTTCTGTGTAAAATCTTGTACATAGTTGGCAGGAAGTTGTCCTCGGTTTGCAGTTCCATTAGGCATCCCATACATCCTTTAGCCTATCCAAGTTCAATGCCCCTAATAAAACTTAAAAACCAAGTTAAAGGACTGTTTACTGTCTCAGAATGCAAGTCTGTGGAAAATGTAGTACTGCTTGGACCTTGAAGAAGGGGGTACACCCCGAAAGCTTGTATTGAAAAACTGTATGTTAATGCAAATAAAAAAAAGACAGCACTCAATTGTTTCTGTTAGGATGCAAGAGGAGACTCTGCAGAGATTGTTAGAGGGAATAGACTGTTTTAGGCTGGTTTGAGATATGGGGATCTGCCATGTAAGTGACAAGTGGAGTTCCTGCCTTCCTGGATGGAACATTAGCAAAGGACCCTGTTTTCTCAGGCAATCCTTGTGTTCTGAAAAAGACTTTCCTAAAAATAAATATGACAGGTTGCACTGATCAAGACCAATAATGTTCTAGTTATTAATGTGAGTGCCTGGTCTTCTGATTAAGATGGTATTTGATGTCTCTTTTTGAAGTTCAGTAAAAGTTCCCTACCAAGAAGTGAACTGCCTGACTGTGTGTAAACTTACAACACTTTCAAAGTACATGTAAAAGTTAAAGGCAAAGTGAGTATGGCTGGGGAGTAGAAGACCTGCAGTGTCTGACTATCACTTTTGAATGTCACTAAAGGTTCTTCAGCAAGAAGAGACATATCTGAAGGTCCGTTGACTCCATCATCAATACTGTGCAAGAGGGAGACAAAGGGAGATAATGTAGTGGAGTTGGGGAATAGAAGAGTGTTGCACTACCCCTACTCGCTGAGTTATTTTCGGGCTCCTTGTTGTTTTTGACCCCACTCTGGGAGCCCAACACCTGCTGACACACCATACACTTCTGGCCAGGGAAAACCCTCTGAATATTATCAAAAAATTAAACTAAAACAGTTTAGAATGAACTGATATTTTGCTTATATTGAAGTTAAATGAAAGCACAGTAAAGCAACACAAACTAATAGGTGTGTGAATAGTAACATTTACCATTCTTACCAACTTTAAGTGAAAGTCAATACACACAAAAAAAATCTCAATCAATTCTAGAAGTCCTGCAATTCAGAAATTAACCAATAAGCTCAGCCCTGAGATGTTTCTTTCCCCATTGAGCAGAGGAACTACCAGCAAGCAAGACTAGCTTACTTTGGGCTCTCAGAGGCTGGTGGCAGGGTTTAATTCTGAAGTGAGGACATAGCTCTTTGGCTATAAGGGTTAAAGTGATAATAAAGGCTTAAATTTAAAAAAACAAATACATCATACTTACCTGTTGTGTGCAGTGGTTTTGCACAGATCCTCAGGAGCCCAGATCCTCCACTTCTCGGGTCCCCTGCCGGCGCTCCTGGCCCCTCCCTCCTATTGGGTGCCCCCATAACAAGCAGCCTGCTATGGGGGCACCCGCTGCTCCATGTGTGCATTCACACAAGGAGCCATGGCTTGGCCCCACCCCTCTTTCTTCTAGTTGGCTCACTGGCTGAGATTGACAGCAGCGGGATCCATCCTGCTGCTGTCTCAGCCAATGAGGAGAGGGAGTCCCAGAATTGCTGAGACTCCCGTGCACATCGCTGGATCAAGAGGGAGCTTAGGTGAGTATTAGGGGGGCTGGGGGAACTGCTGCACAGAGAGTTTTTTTTTTACCTTCATGCATAGAATGCCTTTACAACCACTTTAATGTCCCTTTGACTGCAGTGAAAGATCTTCTGCGCGCTCGGTGGGGCCCAAGTTGGTGCCCTACAAGAATTCAGATCTCCTTGGATGCAAAGAAAAAAAAGGGTGAACGTTCCTTGAAGGATTAAAGTGATACTAAATCCAGGACCCTGCATTCACTATATCTGGTCTCCCACAATACACACAACATGGAATTATTTTAGTAAATAAAAACTGCTAAATACCTTTTATCATCGGCAGCTAGAGCACTCGCGTGACTGGTTAGAGTACTGGTTAAAGCTTGTAGGAGGAGTTTTATTTCTGCTCTAGGAGGATGTGAATGTCCTGACCCTCTGTCTGGACAGTGCTGATCGTCCCTGTGCTGATCACATGCACTCTCCCAAGAAAAAAAAAAAAAAACTCTAGCAACACACACCAAACTGACCATGTGCATGTGACTATGGATTCAGTCTGTATAAGGTGGTCATTTCAACAAGAAGAAGGGCAGAGAAGACAGGATCAAACAGCCCTTTTACACAATGCGCAGATTAACCCCTTAGGCTCCACAGTGAGTATAACAAGCATGCTTTACTGCATATACAGACTGATTTTACTGTTGTGGGTTTAGTAACACTTTAATGCAAAGAACAACACTACCCCTTTAATTGGCATTTAGCTTGGGTAGTACTCCTTTAACATATAAGATGAGATGTAGATTTTAAGGGGTGGCAGAAGCACTTGGTGGTAAGGGTTAAGTCCTCTTTAGGCCACAATAGCAAATGGCAACAATGAAAGGTGTCCCTTGATGAATATGGTCCAATTGCAGAAGAATCAGTAATAAGGCTTGGCCTGCAGAGGGCAGAGGGCTGGGTGAATTAGGCCTCAACACGGGCAACTTGTGAACAATGCCAATAACTAGGTAGAGAATGGCTGGTATGGACAATGCCAGTGATAACTCAAGTAGCTTTAAAATGGGACTCTCTCATCTAATCTGTGGCATCATGCAGGTAACTGATGGTCTTTCTGTAGATAGGGGCCATCTGAGCAGAACCTTGAGAGGTCACCCGCCATTTCAAATAGGCCCCTAACAGGTGAGTATACAGCTGCTAGTCTTATTCAAATCTGCCTTCATCTGATTTTTGATATATCAAGAAAATAGTAAGGAAATTGTACAGTACAGACCTTAGAAAGCATATCCAACCATACCTTATATTAGGAGCTCCGTGTAATAATATTACATTTTATTTTAGAATATTTAAATTAGTGAGTGAAAATTCTGACTTTACCAAGAAGAAAGAAACCAATCAGCTTCCAGGTTTTATTGTCAAAGTTTAATATTATTATTATTATTATACAGTATTTATATAGCGCCAAAGGGTATGCTCAGCGCTGTACAGTAGCATGGGGGACATAACATGAGACAAGACAGTAACAATACAATACACGAGGGGTTCGAGGGCCCTACTCTTTCGAGCTTACAATCTAGGAGGGAGGGGAAGGTGGTACAGGAGGAAATGGCTGTGGGGGATAGAGTGGTGGGAGGAGTGGAGGAGGTTAGTTGTTAGGTGAGGTCAGGTGTTAGGTGAGGTTGGGGTAGGCTTCCCTGAAGAGGAGGGTTTTCAGGGTGCACCTGATGGTGAGGAGGGTAGGTGACAGTCTGATGGATTGGGGTAGGGAGTTCCAGAGGATGGGGGAAGTCCTAGAGAAGTCCTGCAATCGAGCATGGGAGGAGGAGACCAGGGAGCCAAACAGTAGGAGGTCCTGTGAGGAGCAAAGGGCACGGGTAGGGTAGTATTTGGGTATCAGGTCGGTTATGTAGTTTGGGGCGGCGTTGTGAATGGCTTTGTAGGTCAGAGTTAGCAGTTTGAATTTGATGCGTTGGGCAATCGGGAGCCAATGAAGGGATTGGCAGAGGGGGGAGGCAGATGTGGAGCGGTTCGTGAGGTGGATGAGTCTAGCCGCTGAGTTTAGGATCGACTGGAGTGGCGATAGCGTTCGTTTGGGTAGGCCAGTGAGAATAGTCCAGGCGTGAGATGATGAGGGAGTGTACGAGTTGTTTGGTGGTGTCTGGGGTGAGGAATGTGCGTATCTTGGAGATGTTGCGGAGGTGGAGCCTGCAAGATCTAGATAGCAGTTGGATGTGGGGTAGGAAGGAGAGGTGGGAGTCCAGGGTGACACCCAAGACTTTGGCGTGTGGGGTGGGAGAGATGGTGGCATTGTTTGTAGTGATGGAGAGGATGGGGGGGGGGAGGACGGGAGGGGGGAAGACCAGGAGCTCGGTTTTGGATAGGTTAAGTTTGAGGAAATGGAGCGACATCCAGTCTGATATGTCGTTTAGGAGGTGGGCGATGCGGGCAGAGAGTGAGGGGGTGAGGTGGGGGGTGGAGAGGTAAATTTGGGTGTCTTCGGCATAAAGGTGGTAATTGAAGCCGTGGGAGTGAATAAGTTTGCCAAGGGAGGAGGTATAGATGGAGAAGAGGAGGGGCCCGAGGACAGAGAGGAACAAGCTGAAGTTAGAAGCTGATTTGTTACCATGCAGAGCTGCACCAGATATTGAGTGCACCAGTTTTAGTAAATCCCCCCAGTGTGTTTTTGCATTAGCAGCTCACTGAATGTTTTAACTTATTCCCTGGTATTTTTCTTTAAGTGTGTGAAGTTTCCACAATGTTATGCTCTTTAAAATACACCAAGTTGATTTTTTAAATGTGAAGCAATGTTAACTTTATGGTTTCTTTGGATGATCATCCTATACACATTCTTACAAATACTAACTAGTTCTGTTTTAAATAAATAAAATTGAAAACCACTATTATAGATCCAGTTTGAAAATGAATTATATACATTTATTGGCTTTATCATCACATTTTCAAATGAACACATTGAAAATCTGGTGAATATTGCTGGCGAATATGCAGTTAATATCAGTGAGTCCATGATAAAGACTATGATATAGTACATATAGGGGGTATGGGTGTATTAGATTCACCAGATTTTTAAATATATCACCTGGTGTGAATCACTTAGGGTTAGACTGGGGACCTGAGGTTAGCTTAAAACATCGGCATGGTTTACTTTAAGCTATATGAATAACAGGATATGGTTCAACTGGTGCAGTTTATTCCAAGTCTGTATAGAAAATTAGGACCAGTCTGAGCAAAATATACACTGTTCAAAAAAATTAAAGGAACACTTTTAATCAGAGTATAGCATCAAGTCAATTAAACTCCTGGGATATTGATCTGGTCCGTTAAGTAGCAGAGGGGGTTGTTAATCAGTTTCAGCTGCCTTGATGTTAAGGAAATTAACAACAGGTGCACTAGATGGGCAACAATGAGATGACCCCCAAAACAGAAATGGTTTTACAGGTGGAGGCCACTGACATTTTTTTCCCTACTCATCTTTTTGGATGGTTTCCACTAGTTTTGCCTTTGGCTAGGGTCAGTGTCACTATTGGTAGCATTAGGAGATACCTGGACCCTACAGAGGTTGCACAGGCAGTCCAACTCCTCCAGGATGGTACATCAATACGTGCCATTGCCAGAAGGTTTGCTATGTCTCCCAGCACAGTCTCAAGAGCATGGAGGAGATTCCAGGAGACAAGCAGTTACTGTAGGAGAGCTGGGCAGGGCCGTAGAAGGTCCTTAACCCATCAGCAGGGCCGGTATATGCTCCTTTGTGCAAGGAGAAATACTGCCAGAGCCCTACAAAATTACCTCCAGCAGGCAACTGGTGCGAATGTCTCTGACCAAACAATCAGAAACAGACTTCATGATGGTGGCCTGAGGACCCGATGTCCTCTAGTGAGCCCTGTGCTCACTGCCCAGCACCATAGAGCTTGACTGGCATTTGCCATTGAACACCAGAATTGGCAGGTCCACCACTGGTGCCCTGTACTTTTCACAGATGTGAGCAGGTTCACCCTGAGGACATGTGACAGACATGAAAGGGTCTGGAGAAGCCACAGGCAATGTTATGCTGCCTGTAACATCGTTCAGCGTGATTGTTTTGGTGGTGGATCAGTGATGGTCTAGGGAGGCATATCCATGGAGGGATGCACAGACCTCTACAGGCTAGACAATGGCACCCTGACTGCCATTAAGTATCAGGATTAAATCCTTGGACCCATTTTCAGACCCTATGCTGGTGCAGTGGGTCCTGGGTTCATCCTGGTGCATGACAATGTCCAACCTCATGTGGCAAGAGTATGCAGGCAGTTCCTGGAGGATGAAGGAATTGTTACCACTGAACATCGCCCATGCTTGCCTGACCTAAATCCAACAGAACACCTCTGGGATATCATGTTTCAGTCCATCCCGACATTGCCAGGTTGCACCTCAGACTGTCCAGGAGCTCAGTGATGCCCTGGTCCAGATCTGGGAGGAAATACCCCAGGACACCCTCCGTCATCTCATTAGGAGCATGCTCCAACGCTGTCAGGCATGCATACAAGCGCATGGGCATCATACAAACTACTGAGTACCATTTTGAGTTGCTGCAATGAAATTCCTGCAAAATGGACTAGCCTGCTGCATCATTTTTTCGCTTTGATTTTCGGGGTGTCTTTGAATCCAGTCCTCTGTAGGCTGATAATTTTCATTTCCATCAAACGATGGGGAATCCTTACATTCCTAACACATTACCCAGTCCATATCAGTATAGATATCCAGCATGATATTTTTCCCCATTGAGATCTGATGTATGTTCAAAGTGTTCCTTTAATTTCTTTGAGCAGTGTATATATTTTTTGATCATCAATTTTTCATGCAGTTTTGTAGTAACAGTATAGCCTGCAGTCCACAATTACTATTTATTCTACTATGACACAAAGTGCTTACAAAAGACTGTCATATACCAATGTCTGCTCATATATAACAAACAACTGTCAAAGACGAAACAATTCTGTTCTATATGCTTTTCTGTACACTGAATTTAGACACTACTTTTAAGCCTACCTTTAATAAGAACCTTCTTAAAATTATTGAGGAACTGTTGAAGTAAAAAACACTTAGGTCAGGGCTGTGTAATATACAACACAGTGTACAGAGTACAGTGGTCATAAGCATGTAACAGTGTCCTTTACACCCTGGTCAGTAAGTGCAAAAATCAGTTCTGTCATTGGAGTTAATGGGTGTGAAAATAAACCATTGTTACCAACATTTGAAAATGATTAATAGCGACACCTTAAAGGGGTTGAGAAAAAATGCAGTGAATGAAATGCGCTGCCTGTAGACAATTTGTGGTCATAGTCATCACATGTCCATTTTCTTCTCCTCTTGCTGTAGCAATGGGTGGTCCTTACTGTTGCACTGAAGAGGGCTCACATAATCACACATGAGCGCTGTTAAGTGCCATAATACAGTAACCTGTATGCTGTGATAATACTGCCCTAGCAGGCAGGTTCATGACAGCCTGGACTCCAGTGAGTTTGATGACGTTGGCTGTCATTTAACCTTGAAGTCCCAGGGCATCTAGCTGAAGAAAAAGGAACTAAAGGCGAGTATTTCAGTAAAAGCTGCTTTTTTATTTATACACTAAATCTATTTGATTTTTTTTATCTTAGCTGGCATTCAGCTTTAGAGTATAGCTAAAGTCAAAACATGTTCTTTTTGCATTCAGCAGGGAATGGTTAAAACCAGTTGAAATACACTGTTCATTAATTTTGTACAACTACAAAACATCTAAAATGGAGCAGGGAAATTTGAGGTTGCAATTATCCCAAATGGTAAATTTGAACAATATGGTAGCCTCTAGATTTGGGGACTTTAATGCAGCAATACAGTATGTCCAAAAAAGCCTTATTGTATATAATAAAAATTAGGTTTTTTAGGAATAGTATAAAACATCATTTTAAAGTGTTACTAAACCCAGGACCCTGCAGTCAATTATTTTAGTAAATATAACCTACTAAATACCTTTTTTCATCGACAGTTAGAGCAGTCTAGTCACTTCTATCAGTGTCCAGCGAGCACTGGCTAAAGCTTGTAGGAGGAGTTTTCATTCTGCTCTAGGAGGATGCAGAACCCCTGACCTCTGTCTGGACAGCGCTGATTGGCCCTGTGCTGATCACATGCACTCTCCCAAGGAAAAACTGTCTAGCAATACACACCAAACTGAGCATGGGCAGAGTGACTCCACACCATATGTCTTAACAGGAGATAAGGAGGAGGATCAGAGCAGTCGGGATCAAACAGCCTTTTTACGCAATGCAGAGGATTAACCCCTTAGGTTCCACAGTGAGTATATCAAGCATGCTTTACTGCATACACAGACTGATTTTACTGTTGTGGGTTTAGTAACACTTTAAGATTAAAAAAATGCACATGTAGAAAAGCAACCAAATATTAGAAGACACACAGCAATGCTATGGAAATCAGCAGAACCTATAGCATAGAGAGCATATAGCAACACCTGAAGCATTGTATATCTCTTCTTCAAGCTTTCAGGTTCAAGATTTTTTCTGTAATATGAAAATAATACATATCAGCCATGTATACATGTAGTCAAAAAGATGGTAAATCATTGTTGAAGACAATACACACTGACCTAGCTCAATACATCAAAAGAGTACAAGGAGTCACCAAGAATAAAATACATAAATATAGATTGTGCTGCTGATTGTGCTGATTGTGTTACTGCGTAGAGCTGCCTCTGGATCTGGGATACCCAAAACCACTGGGGTCGCCGAAGAGAGAGGTGGGGGGGAAAAGATATCACAGTGATGCTGCAAAAAGGGGGAATCTAACCCAGTACAACATGAAGAGTTGGTGGAAAGTCCATCTGCATAGGCAAATATGTCTCTGGAGGTATAATTCCCATTTGGACAAAACTTACATGGTAAACCGTGTCCCATTGGAATAGATTGGTAGAAGCTTACAGCTAAGTAGTCACACTGAAGTCAGTCATACCAGCCATTTTCAAAAGGGAATACCAGCAGTAATCTACGAATATAATGAGGGGAGAGAAAAGAAAAATGGGAAAAAATAAGATAGTAATAAATCAGTCTGTGAATACCAACAAAGGAGAAAGTACAGAGCAAATAGGGACCAGCTCTAATTTGTAGCATACCATGTGAGAGTATCTCTACCGCATGTGTGGGCAAGCGTCACATTCAATGGACAAGAGGAAAGGACGACGCTCACAGCCAACTCGATCCTCATCTTCAGATGTGATGCCTCATCTCAGTTGTTATATACCTGCTATGGGGCCGAGGGATGGGCCACCACAGGCCAATAAAAAAGCCGGGGGGTCCTGGGTACACCGGGTGGACATAGGCAAACCAGGAAAAAGGAGGCGTATCTACCCATCCATACTCACATGTGGCAGCAGCAGTATAAAGCAAAAAACTACTTAACAAAATATCCGAATTAAACAAAAGACATACAAATGAGGCTTGTTATGTATAATAACAACTTATCAGTATACAGACAACATTAACGACAAAGCTAACAATACGGCATTACAGAGTAAGTGAAACTGTAAAAAAGGAATTATGATTCTAATATAAGGGCCATACCCCATAGAGGGAAACAAGAGATTCCCATCAGGGCCAAGTCTAGTCAAGACCGAGATCTTGAACTGAGTGTAGTAAACCTCTCCTGTCACACACTTTTTCTACTGAAGAATCACAAATTCTCATGTCTAGGATTCTTCAAGAGCCTGTTCTGGAACCTCTCCATCCCTTGAGCCTCGAGTAAAGTCTTCTAAGAGACACTGCATGCAGACACCTTTATTTCATTTCCTTAGACCACCAAGCTTCTACCAGGAAATATTTGCATATGCTAGTCATTATTGCTGGTTGCCATTCCACAGTAATCCCATTGGACCTTGATTGAGCTAGCTGAAGATTTTGGACACATTCCATTGTCAAGACTTTTCTCTCTTGTCTTCACACTGTCACTTAAAGGATTCTGTGCTTCACCTCTGTGGGGGGGGGGGAGTTCACACTCAGAAGCTTTACTGCAATACTTACATATTGGTTTATTAGAAACTGTGTTGATAGTTCTTGGGCCCATGGCATCAGGACTTTAAGGGAGAGGACTGACACAGGAAAGACTTCCTTCTTCCTTTTTTTCCTGGGCTCATAGGTTCTTCAAGGGCCTACTTGTAGTTGCTGTTTGATTCACCTTCATTGCATATCTGTGCTCTAAATCTGAGACTAAACAGTTTATACTAAAAGATATCTGCATTAGCAATCTTTTGCTTTTATCTGTTGACTTGAAAACTTCTAGTAAATACTCAGTTGCCTTATTAAAATCTGGTGTCATTGCAAGTTTGATCCCGTGTGAACCATGTCTGAACCCGGGGGTGTCAGAGGTGTTGGAAAGCTTGCAAGGTCAGGGCAACCTTTGGGGGACCAAAGGCGCTACACTAGTAATCTTACTTGTATGTTAGTGCGAATAAAAAAAGGATCACAGACAGTACTCAGTTGTTTCTGTCACAAATGCACTAATACAGCTACAATCAGCTCAAGCAAGTTGGAAAGAGAAAAGCCCTCCATGAGTTAATAACCAATTCCAATATAATTGTTATCCCCCAGACAAAGGTGGCAATACTGTCCTAATGGACAATACACAGTATGTAGAAATGTGCAATAGTCTTTAATAATAAAGAGTGGTATCGTTCTATCTCCGATAGTGTCATTGATAAATGTCATGAGGACTTGTACAATTTGATTGATTCTGCATTTTCAAATGGTATTATCAGTAAAGATCAATGAGAATTTATTAGTCCCTCTTTCCCACAGACACCAACTTTCTATAGTCTGCTACAAAAATATTACCCAACCACCAGGAAGTTTAATTATTTCTGGTAATGGTGCCATTACCGAAAATGTAAGTAGAATGGTAGATCAACATCTATGACCTTTTGTGTTAGGACTCCCTTTTTACACATGAGACACCATTCATTTGGTTCATATCATTAATGACCTTCACATACCAGCCTCCACTTATCTTGTAGCCATAGATGTAGAGGCACTCGATAGTTCAATACCACACAGTAAATGTATAGCTTGTATAAAATATGTTTTGTCCCAATGTAGTATGGAGGAGGATTGTCCATTTAGTGAGTTTATCATTACAATTATTTTTGCTTCAACAGTTCCCAACTTCTCTGGGTACAGGGTGTAGCGATGGGGACTTGTTGTGTCCAGTTCTATGCCAATCTGTACCTGGGACAGTGGGAATGCATGCTCATGAGCATAGATCATATCACAATGTACACAGCACATGTACTATCTTGGTTTAGATATATTGTGCTGAATTCTTACCCAATCTGTACCTTAGGGAGTGGGAATGCATGGTCATGAGTACAGATCAGCTCACCATGTACACTGTACATGTACTAGCTTGGTTTAGATATATTGACAACATTATTTTTGTCTGGGGTGGCCCTCTAAATGAACTCCATGACTTTATACCAATTATGTTTTTTCAGGTTGGCTGGAGCGCAGCTAGCAACACATCCCATATTGTGAATATCCAGCATTATATGAGAAGAAAAGGGATTTTTTTAGGTGCTCAAATTTGACACTTAGTATGTACTAAAATCAATACATAGCTTTATTCCATATTAACACAGAAAAAAAAAACTACATCACATTAGTATTTTTGAAAAATATAAAAACCAACATGATACTTCATATGGCTTGAAGTTCACAATGCAATAATTCCAAATCAACAGGTTTTGCCAAAGTTCTGGCTTCTTCAGGAAATGTTAACTTTACATAATTACTAGAGATGAGCGAAGTATTCAAAAATTCGATTCGACTGATTCGGCGAATTCGTGGAAAAATTTCAATTCGAGTCGAATATATTCGCTGCGAATTTACCTTATAAAAAGGGTGTTTTCTAGGCTTCAGAGAGCCTTTATATTAGTGCAGAACACTGTACCTTTAATTTAAATGCCCTTGGAGTCTGCTGGGGAAGAGAAAATAAATACTGACAGTCACAGTGTGGCGGTGGAGGCAGCAGCAATGGGAGGCCATACAGCACCCTATGACAAAAATTGAAACCACCAGCAGTGTGAGGAGACCTGAAAGTGGCACATGGCAGAGTGTGGCGATGGAGACAGCAGCAATGGGAGGCCGTACAGGGACCCATGACACACTCTGGACCTGGCAGCAGCATGAGGAGGCGGTACAGGGGCCCATGACAGATTACGGGCCTGGCAGCAGCAATGGGAGGCCCGTAATCTGCCAGCACCCTATGACAAAAAATGGAACACACCAGCAGTGTGTGAGGAGACCTGAAAGTGGCACATGGCAGAGTGTGGCGATGGAGACAGCAGCAATGGGAGGCCGTACAGGGACCCATGAGAGAGACTCTGGACCTGGCTGCAGCATGAGGAGGCGGGTACAGGGGCCCATGGCAGATTAGGGGCCTGGCAGCAGCTATGGGAGGCCCGTAATCTGCCAGCACCCTATGACAAAAAATGGAACCCACCAGCAGTGTGAGGAGACCTGAAAGTGGCACATGGCAGAGTGTGGCGATGGAGACAGCAGCAATGGGAGGCCGTACAGGGACCCATGAGAGACTGTGGACCTGGCAGCAGCATGAGGAGGCGGTGGTACTGGGGCCCATGGCAGATTACGGGCCTGGGCAGCAGCAATGGAGGCCCGTAATCTGCCAGCACCCTATGACAAAAAATGGAACACACCTGCAGTGTGAGGAGACCTGAAAGTGGCACATGGCAGAGTGTGGCGATGGAGACAGCAGCAATGGGAGGCCGTACAGGGACCCATGAGAGACTCTGGACTTGGCAAGCAGCATGAGGAGGCGGTATAGGGGCCCATGGCAGATTAGGGGCCTGGCAGCAGCTATAGGAGGCCCGTAATCTGCCAGCACCCTATGACAAAAAATGGAACACACCAGCAGTGTGAGGGAGACCTGAAAGTGGCACATGGCATGAGACACTGTGGACCTGGCAGCAGCATGAGGAGGCGGTACAGGGGCCCATGGCAGATTAGGGGCCTGGCAGCAGCTATGGGAGGCCCGTAATCTGCCAGCACCCTATGTCAAAAAATTGAACACACCAGCAGTGTGAGGAGACCTGAAGTGGCACATGGCAGAGTGTGGCGATGGAGACAGCAGCAATGGGAGAGGCCGTACAGGGACCCATGAGAGACTCTGGACTTGGCAGCAGCATGAGGAGGCGGTATAGGGGCCCATGGCAGATTAGGGGCCTGGCAGCAGCAATGGGAGGCCCGTAATCTGCCAGCACCCTATGACAAAAAATGTAACACACCAGCAGTGTGAGGGAGACCTCGAAAGTGGCACATGGCAGAGTGTGGCGA